ATGTTTAAAGATTAATTTAATTGATTGAACATAATTAATTTTTGATATATGAGTTGCCAAGACCACTAGAGCCTATTTATTTAGCATTTTAAGTGTTTAAAATGGATTTTTGACATTTTTGTGCTTTATGCACCGATGCATTTAACAATGCATCGATGCATCCCTTTGAATATGCATCGATGCATAAGACCATGCACCGATGCATCTGTCGGGTTTTAGGTTTAAAATCCTCATCTTCTTCATTTTTCTCAAACCCTAAACACTAAAACATACGGCCATTCATCCTACAAACCTGCTACACTCATTAAATCGCGCAAAACATCTCCTCATTCCCCTCAATCCGAATTTTTCAAGGTATTTTCACAAAAACTCTATTTCATTAAATTTTTGAACTTAGGACTAGTTTAGATTAGTTCTAGTTTGAAATAATTATCGGGCATTGGCTATATGATGATTCTAAACTAGTTTCTACAATGAATTTCATCAAAAACGCATAATCTTTCAAAATTATTTTTTTTGAAATTTCGAATTTAAAAAAAAAAAATCGAAAATTACTGATTCAATTGTGTTGTTTTCATGAAAACTATGAGTATTATGACATTAATTTTAAATAGTTTTCAAAACTTTGCCCATTAGGACTTTGTTAGAGAACATTGAATTATTGAGGACTCATTTGAGTTTTGGGATTAATTGTTGTGCATACATGTGTTTTAAAATTGCAGGTGATATTTCTTTTCCGATTTCCCTAACCATGTCTAATCCCAAACGCCCTAGGTTATCCTCGAGTCGGTCTCACCAAAATCGTCCTCCCGCTTCTAGACCTCAAAATCCATCCAATATTCATTCATCCCTCATTAGTACTTGTTTTAACATGCCTGAAAACCGTAGGGATGAATTGTACTCTAGGTACATGAACTCCTTCCAATCCTATCGTATTAGGGAAGAGCGTATTCCTTCTCTACAAGCTATGATAAAACTTGAATTTGAATACCTCTCAATTCTTCGCCGATGGAAGTTTGATAAACTCTTTTCTCTTCAACCCATCGTCTTTCACCAACTTGTCCGCATCTTTTATTCCAATGCGGTTTGTATTCAGAACACAACTCAGTGCGATACTATAGCAATTAGATCCTATCTTTTAGGACAATATATCACTATTACTTCTGAATCTATCGCATCTCATTTTGGTTTAGATGATGAGGGTTTATTTAATGAGAAGGAAGATGTGGAATATCCATATCTCCCTAATGCTAGTGTCAGTACCTTTAGGTCTCACCACGATCGATTTCTTCACTTAATGATCTCTTGGTGGTTTAGACCATCCGCAGGTCGGTACTCCACACTACGTACTACAAACTTATGGTGGATGCACTATATAAAGAACAAAAAGAAAATCAATTTTCCACATATTGTCTTTAGCGCGCTTGTCGATATCATAAACATCATTCCCTCAAAGCATGTAGAAACCCTACCTTATGGTTGTCTACTAAGCAATTTGTTTATCAAACTCGGCCTAGATGTCTCCCTTGACAATCCTATCCCGCTCCAAAACCCAATCAATATCATATCCTTAAAGAAATCGGATTGGAAATTGGATGAGAACACCGGACTATGGTCTTTTCGACCCGGTAAGCAAACCCCGGGAGCTAGTTCTTCACGAGCTGTTCTTCTCGTGCTCCTCCTCCTCCTCCAGCTCCTGACGCTGATGATGATCCAGAGCTTCAAAGGCTTATGAGAGATATTGACGAGGAAGTACCAGCTCAGCAAGATGATCAAACGCCACCTTATTTCCGATCTTTTCTAGAGTCGTTTAATCTACGTTTTGCCTCCATTGAGTCTACGATTTCTGATTTTCAGAGGGAGATGCGTGATCGTATGGATGTTCTGACTCTTGAAGTTCGAGCTCATTATCCTCCTCCTCCCGATCCTCCAATGGAGTAGACTTGCTTGTCATGTTTTCTTGTTTTTAAAACTTGGATTGATTTTGATTTTTGTGCTTTGTTTGGTACTTTGAACTTGATTAGTTGTTGGATGTTTGTTTGAGGATGCTTGAACTTATTATATATATTTGGTTTGACATTTTAACGCTTTATGTTTATTAATTTTGCATCATTAGAAATTTATGACCAAATTATGCCATTTCACATTTTTATTATGAATATTGTTTATGAAAACTAATGGCTAATCTCTCTTTTGATTGTGATCTTAGCAGCCTATTATTAATAAATCAATTGGCTAATGTTTTTCAAAATTCTTGTTTAAAACATTTTTATAGAGTCTTTTTGATTTAACAAAAAGGGGGAGAAAATTTAAGATGTGCTATAGTAAGGGGGAGTAAGTTTTTCAAAATCGATTTCAAAAATAATTTCTTAAACAAATCTTAAAATTACTCAAATGTTTTGTTATATCAAAAAGGGGGAGATTGTTGAAAACATTTTTTGATATTTCGATATAACAAATTAAGTTAAATTAATTTTAAGATTTTACAAATGATTTTACAATTTTATATTCGATTCAATTAACTGAATATCAAATTATTACTCCAAGTTTTTCAAGATCAATTTTAAACCTTACTAAATGTGTAAAATTGTGATTTGTACTTAAACTATTTTTAAAACAATTTTCACAAAGTATTTTGAACCAAAATCAAAGCCTAAATTCAATTATTTGAGGTGATGCACCGATGCATCAACCATGCATCGATGCATTAGTGAATTAATTGAAACATCAAATGCATTCCATGCACCGATGCATTCTCCATGCATCGATGCACTCTGAATATTTTCAAAACATCGAATGCATTTGATGCATCGATGCACAATCCATGCATCGATGCACTCAGGCTATTTTCAAACATCGAATGCATTTCATGCATTGATGCACACTTGGTGCACCGATGCATCAAGTGTTCCAACTGTCAAAATATTTGAATTTTACACTGATGCACCGATGCATCCTCCATCATGCATCGATGCATGAGACGCTCCACCCAGAAAAATTAATTGTTTTCACACTTGAACGGCTCTATTGACTCTACTAATTATCACCAACGTTCAGAAGTGATTCAAGGTGTATTTAAACAAGTTCTGAAGCCCTTGATCAATAAGAAATCATAGAGAAACAAGACAGAAAGCATCAAACACCAAGTTTGTGCAAATCAAGCCAATTTTCCTTTCAATATTCATTTTGCTTTCAAGAACACCATTTGTGCTCATTTGTAATTATCTTTGAGTGTTCTTTTCTTGTTCTAGAATTGTGCAAACATCTTACCTTGTGAAGTTTTTCTTGTAAGTTTGCAAATTTGTAATCTTCTCTTTGGGAAAAAGAGTGTTCTCAAGAATTGGGGTATATTCTTGAGGTTGTTGTAAGGTTATCTCTTTGGCCTCAAAAGAAAGAACAAATTAGTGAATTTGTTGGAAAATCCTTAGTGTGGATAGCTAAGGTAGTGGACGTAGACTTTGTTTGAGAAAGTCGAACCACTGTAAATCGCTGTGCAATTACTTTCAATTTTCTGCAAAAGCTTCCACCGAATTTTTAATTGCCAATTCACCCCCCTCTTGGCCGATTCCGTCAATCGATTAACTCAACAGTTTAGATGTCAGAATATTATTTTATCTAAAGTTCAAAAATCAAATTATTATTTTATATAAAATTTAAGGGTGAAACTAAAAATTAATCTCTTTTACGTCATTAAATTAATGAGTTAATGATTCAATGACTAAAATATAACTATTGATAACATAAGTGATCAAAATTTAATAATTGACAATACAAAAGGTCAAAACATAACTTTTTCTAAAAGCTGTGATTAAAAGTGAAAAAACTTGAAACAAAAATGATCATTTAAATATTTAATCCAAATTTTTTTAACCAGGATACGGATGAAGTTCATTGACAACTATAATGCACTGTAGTTATTGGAGAGTAGAAAATAATGTATTTATATATAATTTTATATATAAATATAATTATTTGTAATTATAGGTAAATAATTTATTTAATTAATAAATTTTATTAAATTATGAATTATCACATTTACCGATTATATATGTCTAGATTTTTATATAAAAAATACAATTATTGGGTTTTTATTATTTTTAAGGAAATTACACTGTTTATCACTGAATTTTATTTATATCCTATTTTGCTCATCATACTTTTAATTTTTTTTACTTTGCTCATTGAACTTTGCAGATTGAATCATTTTGTTCGCTCTACCGCTAACTTTTTAACGGTGCTATGACATAGCACAAGCATCAAAATAATGTCATTTTGAAAAACTCAAATATACACCAAAACGAAGTAGTTTCGAATCCTCTTATTTCCCTCATTGTCACTGTCGGCCATCAAGTTATTTTTCATTCCAATTACCGTCGACCTTCGTTGATGGTGGTCGTTTAGTCCCAAAATTCATGGGTTGATTCATCTCGACCACATGAATCCAAATCTGGTGGTTGTTTCACAAAAAAAAATCTCAAAATCTGTTAATCTCGACTGAAACGTTTTGGCTTCATCACTTTCAATCTCCGATTCATGATCTTTAGAGAAAATTCCGACAAAATGGAGGATAGATTTACACTCAAGGTGTTAAGACGAAGCGACCCATGAAATTTGAGACCGAACAGCACTATCGACGATGGTCGGCGGTGGCATCCGATCACTTTTTATTTTTATTTTATAGTTAAGTGAGCAAAATAAGAAAGAAAGTAAAATTCAGTGAGGAACAATGTAATTTCATCTTTATATTTTTAATTATTTTAAATTAAATAATAAAAAATACACATCATCATACCGTTAGAGAATTAACGGTATAGTAAGGAAAATGATTTAATTAAAATTTAGTAAATAAAATAGAAATATTAAAAATACAATGAGTAAAATAAGAGAGTAAAATAAAATAATAAAATTCAGTGAGTGAATGTATAATTTATCTTATTTTTAATAGTTTTGGATATGAAAAGGGTGTTCTGTATTTCAGTCTACATGTCTTTGGACTCTCTTTATTATTTATTTATTTCTCTCTGAATTTGCTTCTTCTTTCTCCTTTGCCCTGCTGATGGCTTTTTTTATCTGGCTTCAGTGTCAGCCAACGAGTGATTCTTGATTGAATCTTTGAAAGAAAAACACCCAAAGACTATTCTTCACTATTTTTTTCTTTTTATTCCATCTATCCTCTTCGGCTTAAGAGTGAATTTGAAGGAGATTTTGGCTACAAAAACTTTGGGTGTTGTTATTTTTTGAGTGTTTGGTCGATTTTGATGGGATTTGTGTGTTTTGGTTTCTGGGTTTTTCTTGCTTTTTGTTGATCTTAATTTGGGTGAATTCAACAGTGATAAAAAAAGGCTTCAATTTTGTTCAGCTTAGTGATGAAGCTTAAGCTGAATTGAGAGGAGGAAAAATGGAGCTTTTTGGAATCTGAAGTTGGCCTTCTTTTGTTGACAAATTGATTAGATTCTCTGGGATTCCAAGTTTTTGTTTTGGGTTGTGTTTCTGGTGAGGATGAAAGAAGATCCTCACTGGATATTTTGTTGGATGTTTCAAGGACACTCAAATTCCACTGTTTACAGGCTTTCCAAGGTAACAGCTTCAATTCAATCACTTTATTTCTGATTCTTTTTCTCTTTTTCTGTTGTTGAAAATCATGAATTATCCTGTTTCTTTTACAGCATTGACTGTCATTTGTTTCAATTTAGATGATTACTTTCATGGAGTCGAAAGAGGAAATCAAGGAGAGGCAGATGTGCTTGGATTCTCAGCTATGGCATGCCTGTGCTGGAGGAATGGTTCAAATGCCTTCAGTTAATTCCAAAGTCTTTTACTTTCCTCAAGGCCATGCTGAGCACGCTTGTGGCCCTGTTGATTTGAGGAACTGCCCTCGAATACCGCCTTATATACTTTGCAGAGTGTCTGCTATTAAGTTCATGGCCGATCCCGAGACCGACGAGGTCTTCGCAAAGATTAGCCTGACCCCAATTGCTACAAACGTGCTCGATTCTGAAGATGATGGAATTGGAGGCATCCTTGGGAATGAAACACAGGAAAAACCGGCTTCTTTTGCCAAGACATTGACTCAATCAGATGAAAACAATGGAGGGGGGTTTTCGGTTCCGAGATACTGTGCCGATACTATATTCCCTAGATTGGATTACGCTGCTGATCCCCCTGTTCAGAAAATTCTTGCTAAGGATGTCCATGGGGAAACCTGGAAATTTAGACATATATATAGGGGTACCCCAAGGAGACATCTCTTAACCACAGGATGGAGCAATCTTGTGAACCATAAGAAGCTTGTTGCAGGGGATTCTATCGTGTTTTTGAGGGCGGAGAATGGTGACCTATGTGTTGGTATTCGAAGGGCTAAGAGGGGCATTGGAGGAGGGCCCGAGACTTCGTCTGTATGGAATGCTGCTGGTAGTAATTGTTTGGTACCATATGGAGGGTTTTCAGCATTTATGAGGGAAGATGAGAACAAGTTGATGAGAAATGGGAGTAGCAACGGGCTTAGCTCGAATAGTAATTTGATGGGCAAGACAAAGGTAAGACCTGAACATGTTATTGAAGCTGCTACTATGGCTGCCAAAGGCCAACAGTTCGAGGTCGTTTACTACCCCAGGGCGAGTACCCCTGAGTTTTGTGTGAAGGCCTCTTTAGTGAAAACAGCGTTACAGATCCGGTGGTGCTCCGGAATGAGATTCAAAATGGCCTTTGAAACAGAAGATTCTTCACGGATTAGTTGGTTTATGGGCTCCATATCATCTGTTCAAGTTGTCGATCCCCTCCGCTGTCCAGACTCACCTTGGAGGCTTCTTCAGGTACTCTCATCCTACTCGATTTACAATCTTTTGGTTTCTAGTAAGATTGTAGGTGACTTTCAAGTGTATACTCCTCTTTTTTGCGTTCAAAGAAATCCTTTTGCTTGTTCTTCTTGACTTTATCTGGTGCTCTAAGTCATGTCTCAGTTTCCAAATTTAGATTTTTTTAATTATAACCATTGATTTAAAGTCCATCAATGGTTTCTGCATTATCTGTATGACCGACCATGTGTTGTTCTTAATATCAGTTTAAAATTGCGACTCGTTCTTCTATCGAGTAGATGATAGATTGCCCATTTTTGTGGCAATATAGGTCGGATATGTTAATAATTGTGTATCTTGTGCTCCAAACTTATATGACAGGTGTCATTGACCATAATATGCTAGCTTCTTCCTGCTTGCTGCAGTTTTACTTCAGCGTCGGAAAGATGTGTAAACCTAACAACAATTTATCCATAAAATGCTTAGAAAATTGTTTTGTAACTTCAAATGCATTGGCAGGTGCCAACACCGCGATGTGGTTCTATGGCTTGTTGAATGTTCATGATTATAGCCCGTCATATTATACGCCTATTGCAGGGGCATGATTGAATTCGAATTATTTGGATTCCATGAAGGGACATGTGTAAATATGATCTTGCATCATTTTTCTCCTGTAATTGTTGAGGTGTGAATTTTTTGTTGTTTTTCCGACTAAATTGATGATTCTTTTCCTTCAAGTTGTTCTTATTTGTTCAACTTTCATCCTGCAGGTTACGTGGGACGAACCAGATTTGCATCAAAATGTAAAATGTGTAAGCCCTTGGCTGGTTGAATTGGTTTCGAACATGCCCGCAGTTCATCTATCTCCCTTTTCACCACCGAGAAAGAAGTTCATCTATCTCCCTTTTCAGCACCCAGATTTCACCCCTGATGGTGAACTTCCACTGCCAACATTTTCAGGCAACCTCCTTGGGCCCAGCAACCCCTTTCGGTGTCTTCCGAACACCAGCCCTGCTGGCATGCAGGGAGCCAGGCATGCTCATTATGGTCCATCTATATCGGATCTCCACCTCAATAAACTGCAGTCAGGTCTGTTTCCGAGTTGTTTCCCGCCGTTTGATCATACAGCTACACCCAATAGGATATCCAATGGTGGCCTAGTTGTTCGAAATCCCAACATGAATGAGAATGTGTCTTGTGTGCTATCCATAGCCCACTCTACTGAGAATTCTACGAAAACTGACCAAAAAAAGACGCCTTTGCTTGTACTTTTCGGTCAGACAATCCTTACCGAGCAGCAGATCTCTCGCAGCTGCTCGAGTGATGCAGTCTCTCTGGTTCTCAAAGGGAAAAGTTCTTCAGAAAAGAACCTGAATCAGACGGCAAACTTTTCCGACGGTTCTGGATCCACGATCCATCAACAACACTTACCAGTACGTGCATCATGCGAAGGCTTCCAGTGGTACAAAGATAACCACCACGAAGCTGAACCCAACTTGGAGACTGGTCACTGTAAAGTATCAATGGAATAGGAGGATGCAGGTCATTTGCTTTAAACTTCGATTGTCCAAGTGACGAACCGTATTGAAGATTCTCATACTCCGAGCCATTTACGCCACCGTATAGGGATGTAAAAAGTTGACTCGACCTGTAAAACTGATTGAAACCGACCCGAGTCAAAACTGTTTTTGACATGCGCTGTGGCGATCCAAAACCGACTTGAGTCGGAACTGGTGTTGACCTGAACCCGAGTTGGACCTGGAAATTGTGGATCCGAACCCGACCTGCATCCGACATGAGAACGACCTGAACCGAAAATATGATACCCGAACCCGAACTGCATCCGACTGATATGAACCCAAACCCGAGATTGACCTGGTAAATAACTGGTATTACCCGACTTGTTTTCAACCTGACTTGTTTTCAACCTGACTTGTTTTTAACCTGATCTGTTTTCAACCTGATCTGTTTTTAACCTGACCTGTAAATGATCCAACTTGTTAATGACCTGATCTGATATTTACTTGATTTATATATTACCATAGATGAAATTATAAGATTTTAATAAAATTATGAGTTTTTTAGTTTATGATGTAATTAAAAAATTAATATGATTACTTTTTAAATGTTATAATAAAATATTTATTTTGATAATTAAATTAATAAATAGACCTATTATATAAAATTATTTAAAAAAATTAAAAAATTATTTAAAAGTAAATTAGATAAAACATGATTAATAATGCAAAGGAAAATTAATATAGTTTAATTTATATAAATTATATAGTTTAATTTATATAAAGACAAAATAATATTAATAATGAAATTATTTATTATGTAATATATATTAACGTTTTATATTATTAATATAAATAATTTTGGCAATACATTAGTTTACAAAGGTCAATACATAAACCCACTCTTTTATTACAAATATATATGCATTAGTGCTAGTCTATTTAAATTAGGGTTTATGGTTTAGTGTTTATGGTTTAAAGTTTAGAATTAGGGTTTATGATTTAGGATTTAAGGTTTCTATAAACTATATATTTTATTACTTTATATAGTTTATGCATAGTGTTTCTATAAACTATATAAGTAATTTACTTTATATAGTTTATATATATATAGTTTATATATACTATACATGGTTTATACATACATATTATATAAAATTAATAAAATTATTTAAATGTAAATTATATAAAACATGATTAATTAGGTGTTAAATAATTAGTATGTCACATTGCATATTATATGGTTCATAAATAGTAGTACATGTCATCTTAATTTAAATTGCATAATTTATATTTTAGTTGCATGTTAGGTTAATTCACATTAATGGCTCATTTATTTTGTTGTTATGAATAAGTAATAATAAAATCAAAAAATAAGTTCATTTGCAATAGTACTAGTCCATTTACATTAGGGTTTATGATTTAGTGTTTAGTGTTTGTGGTTTAAAATTTAGGGTTTATGGTTTATGATTTAAGGTTTCTATAAACTATATATTTTACTACTTTATATAGTTTATGTATAGTGTTTCTATAAACTATATAATTAATTTACTTTATATAGTTTATATATATGTATAGTTTATATATACTATACATGATTTATACATACATATTATATAAAATTATTTAATAAAATTAATAAAATTATTTAAATGTAAATTATATAAAACATGATTAATTAGGCGTTAAATAATTAGCATGTCACATTCCATATTATATGGTTCATAAATAGTAGTACATGTCATATTAATTTCATTTGCATAATTAGTATTTTAGTTGCATGTTAGGTTAATTCACATTAATAGCCCATTTATTTTGTTGTTATGAATAAGTAATAATAAAACTAAAAAATAAGTCCATTTGCAATAGTGCTAGTCCATTAACATTAATTTAGATAGACCCAATGCAAGCCCACTCTTTTATTACAAATATATATGCATTAGTGATAGTCCATTTATATTAGGGTTTATGATTTAATGTTTAGTGTTTGTGATTTAAAGTTTATGGTTTATGATTTAGGGTTTTTATAAACTATATATTTTATTACTTTATATAGTTTATGTATAGTGTTTCTATAAACTATATAAGTAATTTACTTTATATATATATATATACATGGTTTATACATACATATTATATAAAATTATTTAATAAAATTATTTAAATATAAATTATATAAAACATGATTAATTAGGTGTTAAATAATTAGCATGTCACATTCCATATTATATGGTTCATAAATAGTAGTACATGTCATATTAATGTTTGTCTATTTATATTAGGGTTTATAGTTTAGTGTTTAGTGTTTATGGTTTAAAGTTAGGGTGTATGATTTATGATTTAGGGTTTCTATAAATTATATATTTTATTACTTTATATAATTTATGCATAGTATTTCTATAAACTATATAAGTAATTTACTTTATATAATATATATATATAAACTATATAAAGTAAATTACTTATATAGTTTATAGAAACACTATGCATATTACATTAATATACATATCATACATGCATTAATAAATTATACATATATGCATACATATTATACATACATGCATACATATTATACATACATGCATGCATTAATAAATTATATATACATATCATATATTCGAATTTATAGTCAAGATATTAAAAATTATAATAAAAAAAATTCAAAATAATAGAATTCATGCGCAATTGTTTCCCAAATTGTCAAATAAAATTCCCGCGTTTGTTTTTAAAATTCAAAATAATAAAATTCAAAGTTGGTGACAGGGCTACAATTTTTAGAATTTTGCCCAAATTGCCAAATAATGGCGCGATTGTTTCCGCACCAAAAATCATTCACGCGTTTTCAAATCACAAAAGAATCACATTATTACATTAATATATACATACATATTATATAAAATTATTTAAATGTAAATTATATAAAACATGATAGTTATTTTTATATTAATTTAAACCTCACATTTTAAATTTATTTCGATTTAGTCCCTTATCTATGTGTGTTGTTTAATTTATATTTTAAGATTTAATTTGTAATTTTACATTTATTCAATTTTGTCATTAATTTTATTTTTTTTACAAAATTGATCCATGATTATTTATTTTTCTCTTATTTTACTCGAAATCATATACAATTACAACTTCCAATTCAATAATCACGAAAGATGAAAAATTAATTAATCCAAAAAAATAAAAACGACCCGACCTGAACTCAATCCGTATCTGATAAACATCCGACTTGAATTTTATCTGTCAATGATGTGACCCGATCTGAACGAGATCCGACTGAAGTCAACCCGAACCTGAATTAACCTGGTATTTATCTGCTTCGGACCTGAATTGTTTTGACATGAACTGAAATCGATCCGAACTAAAAATGACCCGACCTGAACCTGATCTGGATCTGGTGTCAAATCAACCTGAAAATAACCCGAACTGATTTGACCTGACCTGAACCCGATCTGGATCTGATGTCAAATCAACCTGAATTGACATGTATCCGATTTTACCCGACCTGCCAAGATCCGACTGAAACATGACCGATTACCTCGTTTTACAGCCCTACCACCGGATGGTACAGTTGCACAGTCGAACAACTTGAGCATGAACAATTCAGGTAAAAAACATTTTCTTTCTACTTTTGCTTGCTCATTTTGTTAGAAATCTTGTTACAAAAAGAAACAGCCTTTCATTGCCAATGCAGTAACATTGAAGAAACGTGCATGGAGATCAACAGTTGTAACGGATTCAAGCATCGGAAACCTACGTCGGAGAATTAATAAACCCTGGTTTTATCGTATACGGTTCGTGGTCACTCGAATGGATACGACTTCCTCCATTATTTTCCAGGAGAAGAATTCAGATTTGGATCATTTTCATTTGATGTCCATAGCTTTGATCAAACATTTTTGTTGGAATAATATTGTTGCTTTGTAGTTCCGGTGGTTCCGTAGGCACCTACATGGCCTTTAATCTCGATGTACTTCATTTATTGTATGTTGATTACTATTTAATGTACATTGTTTTCAACTCGTTGAGCAACACATAAATAAAATCGAAATTAAATTGAATTAAATGAGATATTGGGATTTGCAAAAGAAGTCGATAGCTCGGGAAAGAGTAAAAATAAGTACGAAAAAGCTTTTCTAATAGTCGATTATAAGATAGGCATAATATCAAAAATAACTCCCGATGTTTATTAAAATATTAAAATTGTCATTTTGTTTCTTATTTTATTTTTTGGAGCAGTGCATACCAAACGATTTTAGTGATGAAATAACTGTTATTATTTCTTGATGTCCCGGGTTTAAGTATCAGAAATGTCAGGGGTGTGAGTGTTCAATGTCAAATGGCGAAGAGTTATCTATGAACAGATATTGTCTTATACTTACCTGAAATTAATAAAAATATATTTTCTAGAACATTTTAGCTCACAACGTTTTATTTTAAGACAAAAATACCTCTACCATTTGACATAATAATCACTTTGTCCTTATTTTTTATGTCATTTTAACTCTCAACGTTTCGTTTTAAGTTTAAAAAGGCTCCTATTTGGAGTGTTAATCATGTGTTAACTAATGACTTTCATTTATAGGAGTTTTTTCCCCAAAATTAAATATTGAAGACCAAAATGTTCCAAAAAATAAGGGTCAAAATGACCATTATGATAAATGTTGGGGGCTATTTTTAGTATTATGCCTTTAAGGTAATAATAAAGTAGTAATAGAGGAAGAGATTCACGTGTGGGCTATTTGACATAACTGACACCAATTTTCTTTAATATTCCCTTTCTGACACCGTTTGATCAATATTTCCCGAAGTAGCACCCTTTCTGCTGAGTTGGCAAAGGCGCGTCCCCGGGGACGTGCTTTACCCGTGTTTTCGCCGAGTTGGATGCCACGTGTGGAAGGCGCATCCCCGGGGACGCGCCTTTCGCCAGCTCGACTGCCACGTATTTTATTTAATAATAAATATTTTATTTTTATTTTTATTATAAATTAATAATATATTATGCAAAATGTTTCGATTATAATGTAAGAATTATCAAATGTATTTTGTTAATGTGTGTTAAAGGTGGAGTGAATTATCTACATTAATATGATATAACAATATATGAAAACCAGTTTTGACTTTATTGTAGTTATAGGAAAAATGTATGAAATTATAATATTACACATATGGTTATATTATTATTTTTGATTTTGATTATCGATCTATTAATTTTATCAGTTAATTATTTAAATGTTATCAATCTAGTCATCTCATATCAATATTTAACGAAAA